GTACATGAAAATCGGGACAATATTGTCGCGTGCCGGCAGTACAGGGTTTTAGCAGGAGTTGTTTGTTGATCTATTTTTGGTAGCGCTTTCACTTGCAATCTTATAGGGACGTTACTGCACTAATGGTTCGAATTAATTAGGCAAAGACTTTGCACATGAGTCCTCAACTAGCAGTTGAACAAGATATGTATATTAAAAATGTAGAACAAATCAGATGTAACACTTCAACAAAATTTATTTTGTGTATAAATAAATTAATGTCAACACACAATATAATATATAAGTTATTATAGCAGCAACTGTCACAATTACATTTGTATATTGTAAAATGATGAGCAATGTTCATTTGTAATTAAATACACACAGAGTTCAGATATTTAGATGTTATTACAACTTATGAGTTTGTTAACTTATGATACTTATGAATAATTTACTTTAGTATAGCACAGGATGCATTTAAATGGAAATTTCGCTGATATAATCGCGTATTAAATTAAGACGTTAACGGCTTCCATAAAAATATATGCAAGTCAGTGAACCGTAGCCGCTTATATCATTTATCAATAACAGCAGAAAAATAATGTTCAAAGTCAATAAGTATTAATTATATAATGTGAGACAGTAACAAATTATGATGTAAATTCTTATAAAATGAGTATCTTGTAAATAAATCGTCTTTCTATAAAGAATCTGGCTTACTAAAATTAATGGCGCTAGACCGCAGACGAATTTATACAATAAGTTAAATGGCCGCCAAAATTTCTAATGTTTCAAATTTTCTAAAGTCGAAAACAGCGTAAAGGGATGCTGCTTCTAAGAAAGACAAAACTAGACTGACTCAAACGGCTGATTTCGCCGTATTAATATGAAAACGCCCAACCACTGCCCAACAGTGGTTGGAATGGTAGAAAAACGATCAACAACCGAAAATGGTTGACAGCTGTCAGACAAAAATGATCGGAAACGATCGTAAACTGATCGGACTGAAATTAACTTTAATGGAGGAAATTTTACAATAATAGAGCTATAAGCAAATACAATTATGACTATTTCCAAAAATTCTCTACCTTTTGTGATGCTATTTCTTGCGTACCAAAACGGAACATCTTCTGCCTACTTAGTGTTTACATAAACTAACCGATGCAACAGCTATAATAAGCCAATAATGCAAAGTACAAAATGGCGGCTTACAGTAAATTTGCAACACATGAAAATTACATTTCAAGGAAAATACAGTGAAATTTGTGGAATTTAACAAAGTTACTTGGCAGTTTGTTAGAGAATTACATTCTTCAACTGAGGAAATCAGACTTTACATAAAAATACAAACATTTAAGGAATTATGACAGCTTAAAGTCAAGATTAAAAGGATTGTTTACAAACATTACAGCTAAAGTGTCACGGATAAGGATTTCTTACACATAAAGTACCAGCAGCTAATATCATTGGTATAACCTGTTTAAATGAGCTAAAGTGTGTTGTTTAAAATGTCAATGCACAGTTCATTTTTCATTTTATGCCTTGTTAAAGTCAACAACTGGTACTGGATTTCTCAACCAACTGATATAGTAAAGTTCATGTAGGTAAGTTTTCTAAATAAATAATTGTTACACAGTTCACAGTTAAATTATTGATTAATGCCTGATACCCGGGACACATCAATATGGCCTTGCTAACTTTGATAATTTACTATCTGACCTTGAAATAAGCAAAATTTAATTTTAAACGGTATAACGCTATGAAACAAGGCCGGACATATTTATTTTTTTATTTGCCTAAAATTGTTTCTATCATTATTTTGTAATGCAAACTTTTCATGATTTCGATTGGATCGTGTTCTTTCTGCTATTTGTCTATATGCAAACTTAGCATTCAACTTTAAGCACACAATCTTGAAATTACGGATACACTTTTGCTTTATAACTTCGACTTAATATGTATTAACAAAGTAATGGATAAGAGTTTCAACAAATAAGAAAATGGTCAGATTAATGGGCAGATAACTATAAAACAAGACCGGTGATATTGATTTTTATTTGCTTAAAAATGTTTTTATCATTTTTTTTTTTGATGCAAAAATAATTAAATTCTATGTAATAGTTTTTATTCTGCTATATGTCTATATGTAAACTTAGCATACAAATTAAACACACAAACTTGAAATTATGGATACATTTCTGCTTTATAATTTTGACTTAATATATATAAACAAAGCAATGGATAACAGTTTCAACTTTAAATTTCAACCTCTAAGCTTCGGAAGGAACTATGTCTTTCGCACAACCGGTATCATGGCTGGCCAAGTGTCAAATATGTTTACATAAAACATTTTAAAACGGTATTTATGTTAACGAAGTGGGCAGAATAAACATGAAATAACAATGTGTTTAGATACCGTTAAAGAAAAAATTAACTTTTAAACAATCATAACTGTTACAATAATAAATACGTACTAGATTTTAACTGGTAAAAATGTTGTTAATTCATATTCTTACAAACTCATTCAATTCGACATTTAACAGCTTTGTTGTTAAAGGATGTAAATACTTTTGCATTTGATACACATGATATAAAGATGAATAGGCTCACAAAATTCTATTGAATGACAAAAGAAAAGAAGCTTGCTATTTCCTATTTGCTATTTTCAGCAGAAATGAATAAAAAATATTCATTTGATTTTCAAAATAAAAATTGTTCACAAAATTAATATGGAAATGCATTGAATTAATAAAAACGCATCAATTAATTGACAAATGATTCATAGAATGTTTAGCATCAAAGTTCGTGCATTTGTTAGTTTGTTCTTAAACGCATATTTATTGATTGGAATATCGTATTATTACTAACAAAACTAAACTAGTTAAAACAAATTGCACTGCTATGATTATTATGACTTAGCATAGTTTTCATCGGTCCTTAACAGCTGAATGTTTAACGAAATCATCTTTTTTTACTTTATAATCAAATAAGAATATCACTACTTACGAAAACAAGATAGTTAAATGTTGAATTTGTATGAAATGTACATGTTTTACTCATTCGCCGAAATAATATATGAAAAAAATAGCAAAGCTTGCTATTTTCAAAATATTCAGCAGGAATGAATAATAAATATTATTAAATATTTTTCAAAATGATAAAAAAACACAAACTTGATATGGATAGGCATTGAATTAGTGAAAACGCAGCAATAAATTAACAAATGATTCATAGAATGTTAAGCAATACTTTTTTTATGCATTTGTGAGTTTGTTCTTTAACGATATTTTTTGTATCATAATACATAACAGTTACTGTATTTAAATTTCATTTTCATCTGCTTACAATTATATATATTATTTATTTCATTTTTATTTATTTAAGTATTAGAGTCTTTCGAAGATGGTAAGAAATAAACTATATTTTTGTAGTAGCATTAAGTGATTTCTAAGTGTTTTTTTCAAATGCGCCCTGGTAGAATTTGTGTTTTACTATGAATGTTTGCTATCAATTTAATTATGAGGAAGAGAGAACAAAGTTGATGATGACATCACAATAGGAAAAGACGCAGAAATATAATGCAAGGCAACGTTTATTAAAGCCGAAATTTTTGGCTAGTTCGTGTTTTGCTTCAAACAAGTTTATCGCATAATCTTTATTATTTAAAGTAACAATACAGCGTATCTAAAGATCCTAAATATAAACATATATTAAACAATCATTAAAACAATCATAACTATAATAAATACATACTGGATTTTAACTTGAAAGAAATGTTGCTAGTTCATATTTTATCATAAATAGACTCAATCAATTCGACACTTTATAATTTTTTTTTGCTTTCCCTGCTTCTGTGGGATCCACCCTTTTCTATAATTTTGTCATGTGTCGTTTGACAAATGTAAACATTTCAGTGTCATTATATTGAATCTAGCACATTTAGTGTTGGGAATTGAAAACCGATTGAATTGGTGCTAGGGTTCATGAGAATGTTGCACATTAACATTATCTCTTAACAACAGACTAAATTCAACAAAATCTGCAGCTTTCATATTTTTTTGTTGCTTTCATTGCTTCCGAGGGATCTCCCTTTTTTCAAGGTATATCCTTTTAATTGTTGGATAACTAAATATGAAAAGTTTATGCATTACTATTTCCAAAGTGTTTTCTTTCATGTCTTTTAAACAAGGTTAGCATAGAATTGTAAACAAACAACACCATATTCTAAATTTTCCTTTATTGAATCAAAATATTATTACGACACATTTATAACACTCAACAAGAACAAGATCGACTTGAGATACAATTTTAGAACATAATAAATATAAAATATATAACAAGGTTTAATATTGCTTCACAGTTATGAAGAAATTAAAATGATATTATCCAATCAGGTAACAGAATGCATAATTTCATACAAAGTTTTGTTCTTTATCGCATATATCTATTTTGTAATGAAATTGGAATATCATAACTTACGAAAACAAAATATTTAAATGTTATATTTTTATGACATTCATATGTTTTACTTATTGGCCGATATAAAACAAGCAAAAATAGCCGAATTCCTTCCTGGCTAGATGTAAATACTTTTTCAGTGGATATAAAGATGGATAGGCTCGCACACATCTACTGAATACCAAAAGAAAATAAGCTTGATATTTCCAAAGTATTCAGCAAAAATGAATAATAAATAATTTTATTATTTTAAAAATGTTAATTGAACATAAACTAAAAATGGATATGCATTGAATTAGTGAAAATGCAGAAGTAAATTGACAAATGATTCACATAATGTTTCATCGGCGCTTAACAGCTGAATGTTTGACGAAATCATCTTTTCTATCTAGTATACAATTTGAAAAATAATATTTGGACAGTTACACTGGTTAAATATTACATTGAAGTTAAAACTGTGAAAATAAGAAAAACAATCATAATACATTACAGTTTCTGTATTTAAATTCCATTTTCATCTGCTTACAAATATATATTATTTATTTCATATTATTTTATTTCAGATTTTGAGACGCTTTTTGCAAAAGGTAAGAAATTAACTGTATCCTTGTAGTAGCATCAAGTTGTTTTAGCAATTATCCTGATTTTGTCATAGATGATAATTATTGTTCTCATATGAATGTTTTACCTGTTGATTATGATATTGACCCAGTTATGAATCGTTATTCACAAGACAAATGCCGTGTAAATAGCTATGGCTTAACATTGTTAGATATTTGTAAACATACTGGCCTAAGAATTCTGAATTCGAGGTTTGGCAAAGATAAATACATAGGTCGCAACACATTTGTTGGAAGTAGAGGTAGTAGTTTAGTTGATTACGTAATAAGTACACAAAATTTGTTTCAATATATTGACGTTTTTGAGGTACAAGATCCAAATATATTAAGTGATCACTGCCTTGTGGATATATCTCTTGTTTTTCTATAAACCTTTATCTGTACATGTACAAAATGCCAAGTCATGTGAAACTATAGATAGCTTCAAATATGTGTGGAATAACGGTAAAAAACATATGTTTGCTGAAAACCTATCTTTTGAAAATACGATGAGTAAACTTAATTATTTCAATGTCAATGTGAATAATGTTAAGTCTTCCTCTGATATCGATGAATGTATTAATGATTTTTCTAATATTATTGACGGGGTTGCGTCCCCTTTGTTCAAAAAGGATATTAAACATACATTAAACGCTGATAGCGATACTTCAGCCAGTCATATTGTTGATTGTAAATGGTATACGCAAGAATGTTTTGAACTTAGAAATACTTTTCATAAAATGTTAAATGTCTATCGAAATAATAAATCTGATTTTAATAGACAAAATATGGTTCATGCACGTACGAAATATAAATCATGTAAACGCAAATTTAAATGGATTATGACCGTAATGAAACGGCGAAATTAACCGACGCTAGTTGTATTGGAAAATGCTTAAAACTTGTGCTGGTGTTAAACAGTCTAATATTCAAATTGATGTATTCCAGAAATATTTTGAGTCTGTAAATAACCCAGACGATCACTTTTTTAGGTCTGATGAAGATGTTTTGTATTTTATAGACAGGTATGAACAAAATGATTTTAATATAATGTTTCATGAATTGAATGTCCCTATCACTGAACAGTGCTTATTAAAAGCAATCCGCCAACTACAGACAAATAGAAGTAGCGGTCCGGATAAATACCTTAACGAATTCTTTATTAATGGTAAACATGTTTTAATGCCATTTTTGCTAAATTTGTTTAACAAAATATTTGAAGTAGGATACTTCCCAGAAAGTTGGTCTGAAGGATTTGTAATACCCCTACATAAAAAAGGCACTATTATAATGAAAATAACTATTATAGAGGAATTACATTATTGAGTAAATTAGGTGAATTGTTTTTACGTGCTTTAAATAATAGACTGGTAGAATGGGCAGAAAATTATGGTGTATATATTGAGGCCCAGTCGGTTTCAGGCAAAAAATGGGCACGGTAGATAATATATTTATTTTGCATGGTTTGATTTCTCATGTGATTAATAACGGTAAAAAATTATATTATGCTTTTATTGATTTTAGTTAAGCCTTCGATTATGTTGTAAGAGACAACTTGTGGCTGAAATTAATACAATTAGGCGTCCGTGGAAAAATGTTGAATATTATAAGATCTATGTACAACTCAGTTAAATCTAAGGTAAAATATTGTAACTCTTTAAGTTAACCATTTAATTGTATTTTAGGGGTACGTCAGGGTGAATGTTTATCACCTTTTTTATTTGCTATGTTTCTAAATGATATTGAAGACATGTATATACATAGTGGTATGCAAGGTATTGATGTCAATATGTTTAAAATATTTCTTATTTTATATGCGGATGATATTGTTTTATTTGCAAACACTGAAAATGAATTACAGATACATATAGTCTAGACAGATATGTTATATGAATATTGTAATAAGTGGAAATTAATTGTTAACACTGATAAAACTAAAATTATGATTTTTTTGTAAAGGCGGACGATTGTCTACTGATACTATGTTTTATTATAATAACCGTCCTGTCGAAGTTGTCAATAAATTTACGTACTTAGGTATTGTATTTACTACTGGAGGTTCTTTTTCTGAAGCACAAAACACACTTTCGGGTCAAGCAAAAAATGCTATATTTAAAATGAACAAGTTCTTATATAAATTTACAAATATCTCTGTGCAACATAGATTAGAACTTTTTGATAAATTAGTATTACCAATCTTGAATTATAGCAGCGAAGTGTGGGGTTTTATACACGGTAATGCTATAGAAAGAACTCATTTATCATTTTGTAAACAGTTACATGGAGTTAAAAAATCAACACAAAATGATTTCATATACGGTGAACTTGGCAGACTTTCACTTCAGTCATTACGTTATTTCAACATTGTTAAATATTGGACAAAAATTATATGTGCAAAAGAAAACAAATATATAGCAAAGGTATATCTAATGTTGAAAAATGATTTAGAACAATTTCCTAATAAGAAAAACAGGTGTTCATTGGTAAGAGATTTATTATGTAACCTTGGCCTTAATGGTGCATGGTTTTATCAAAATGTCAGAAATGTAAATGTATTTCTTAGTTTAGTTAAACAAAGAATTAAAGATCAATTTATTCAAAATTGGACTGGTAGACTAAATGATTCATCTAAAGCTTTATTTTATAGATGTATTGCACAATTTCAACTACAATCATATTTAAAATGTATAGGTGTGAGAAAATTTTGTACTAGTATGACAAAACTGCGATGCTCCTCGCATAGATTATGTATTGAAACAGGAAGATGGGCAAGACCTGTCAGTATACCTATAAATGAACGCAAATGCACATTCTGCAATGTGTTAGAAGAATAATTCCATTTTGTATTACAATGTAGAATGTACTCTCAATTAAGAACACAATATATACCAATTTGTTACTGTGGATCTCCAAATATGTTTAAATTTATAGAATTAATGAATACTGAAAATCAATTGTTAATTAGAAAACTGAGTATAAATATTTCAAAAGCATTCGTGATGCGCTCAGATATTTTATATGGTGCTGATTAGTATGTATATAATTTTCATATCTACAACTATGTCTATACTTTTGTTTAAACTAGACTTATAGTACTACATTGTATGTTCTCTTAATATTATATCATTGTCCCAATTGACATGTTGGTCAATATATGCTAGTCATATGAATATGTAATATTTCTTCTATGTCAGTCATATAAATGTGTGATTCATCCTATATAATATAGTTTCATAGCTCAAATATATGTATATTTTACAAGCATTTATATGCAGTATGTGAAAATGTATGTAAATTCACGTTTTCGTTATCAACATGATTTAATTCAATATTCAATTGAGAAAGATTTTAATCTGTCAAATTATCTTCTTCACTAGTGATAGATCCAATCTAATATGTAAAGTCAGTACAATTTGATTTTTGTCACACTTGCATATAATGCGTTCCAGAATAAAAAAGGAAATTCCAGATGTCCTTTTTCCGGGGGTCGACCTTTAGGCACTTTTTCATCAACAAATTTACATGCAGAGAGAGATACATAGTGAGACTGGAGAGATAGGGGAATAATTCCCCTATTTTTTAAACCTTAAACGCATTGTATCAGTCCGTTCTGCGGATAATATGCCATTCTCTTTTTATAGGGGTTTATTTTCTAAGGATAATTTTGTAAATCGCTGTTCGGAATTATTTGATCAATATGTATAGAAGTATATTTTTCATACTTTAAAATGGGTCTTGTTGCTGGGTCGTATGGGGTTGAGTTATTGAACGCCGCCTTTCCGATCTTGTTTATCATAGTTTAGTATTACTGTCATTTTTGCATATTCCTCATGCGTTAGTATAATCGTTGCTTATAATTATTATTTGTGTAGATGAAAATGTGTTCGTGATATATGGTTTTACCCCCGTTTATATGAAGATGATATGATCAATGACAAAATGGAGGGTCATAAAATAACGCAAACATTTTTTTTTTTTTTTTTTTTTTTTGTGACAATTAGTTTCTTTATTAAACATTTTCCATCGTACATCATGTTGTTAATATGAAAAAATGTAGTAAATAAACAACACAAAAATAAAAGTAAAAATGTTAAAAGTTTTCTACAACTGATATTAATATAATCATTAATAAGCTATTAGTAGCGTAGTATTGCCAACTAATCCATTCTACTAACTATCTATATATATAGAGGATATTTGTTTGTTTGTGTGTAAGATGAAATTTTATTTCATCGAGTGGGCTTTAAAAACAGTATTCTCACGAGTGGCATAGCCACGAGTGAGAATACTGTATTTAAAGTTCACGAGATGAAATAAAATTACATCTTACACAACAAAAAGACAAATTTTCTTTTTATTATATGCTTAAAAACAAGTTAAAACGAAATTTCCATACTTTTAACGTTAATATTAAAACTGTTTCCCCCATTGAGAGACCCATTTAGTCGGAATTTCTCATTAAAAACAAGAAGTCTTGAACTGAAAAATAAGTCCGCCAATCAACATTAAATGACGGTGATATTTATTCATTTTATCAAAAAAATATGAATGATCGCTTGTTTTAATAATAAAACAAACAATTCTTGTAGGAGAAAAAGTCCAACCATCCATCCATATTTCTGTTACTTACTGCGAATTGATATTAGACCTGGCTTTGTAAATTGTAAGCGGCAGCCATTTTTTAAAGTTGTGTATTTCATGGGAGGAAAATAATTGTGTAAGATTCAGAGGGATATAATTTGGATTTGTTAGTCATACACCTTTTTAAAAGAAAGAAAACTTATTTGAGGATTGTAACAGACAAAAAATAAGTGTTGACAGATGTGAAAACATTCAGAAAAGGAGCTAGGAAAATGGAAAACTTGGAAGCTTGCAAGAACGCTGGGTTTCTTTACTTATTCTACGAGTGATGGCTGTCAATGCTTTTCAATTTTTCATAAAGCATACGGCAGTTATTGCTCGTAGGATACTTTAATATGCCCAAATGTCATCAAGAGCAGTTTTGCATGGGGAAGGAATGTATTTTTCAGACTGTAAAAATGAAACAAAAATTATTTAGAGACGAAATTTGGTGATTGGAAATTGAATGAATAGAAGTAAGTTTTCTTCTTTTTATTACTTTTGACATTTAAGTTATTTATCAATTTCAGCTTTGCTTTTTCTATAAACAGCATGACATTGTCAGAATTGTCAGCAAAAATAAAATTGAGGTACCACATGGGGAAAATCTTATAAAAGTAGTTTCGTCATTGAAAAGAGTGAAATTATATTTTGATAATTTTCACTGTGAAATTACCAAATATAATTTTCACGGATAA